TTTCCCCAGAAAGATAGATTCCTTTGATGGAATAAAAGGATTTAACTCTCTCAAGGTTGCACCTTTCTATCTTTATTCCTTTTGATTAAAAAAGTGTTTTTTGTTGTTGCTGGTGGTGGTGGTGTTAGGGTGTTGACCAGGAAGCTTTAAAGAAATTTGTTGATGGGTATATTAAATCGACCAAGAGGGTACCTTGTTAAATTTCATACTTGTGATTCTGAATACGATCTGACCAAAAAGGTACGTTGTTAAAAATCACAAGGGGAAGCTTCTGCCTCTTCCACTGTGAAACTTCCCCTTTGATTTTTGATTTCTACATCGATGATAAAAGAAGAGAAGAGGATTTAGGGTTAGGTTTGTAAATTAATATTTTTATATCAAATAAATTATTGTTAAAGTGCCAACAGGGATCCTACTTGGATTAAACAGCTTTAAGGAAATTGTCCATGTCATCATCGTCATGGCAAGAAGAGGCCATGTCAGTATCCCATTAACGGATTAACAGTGGGGTGGCATAATTGGAGTTAAACATAAAAGTCAGTGATAAAATTGGCAAAATTGAAATGTCAGAGGCATTTTTGAGCCAGAGCTTAAAGGTGAGTGGTATTTGAAGTAGTTAACCCAAAATTTAATTAAACTAAACAACACGTATTGATGAGAGATCAAACCAAAATAATTATAAAATGTGAAATTGAAATTAATATAAAAATGAACTAAATTGCATCCATTTAAAAAGTTGGTGAAGAAAAGGTTTGGAGAATATAATTTATAAAATTAGAAATGAAGTTTGTTATGTGATTTATAGGATATGAAGTAAATTACAAAAATATAAATAAGTATGGGACAATTTCATATACAAATATAATTTTAAAGACTATATTTAACAAATATGAAATTACACATTAAAATTTAAATAATTTAAACAACACATAGGGATCAAATCAAAATAATTGTAAAATGGGAAGAAAATTTGTAGAATAGGCTGAATTGCATTCATTTTAAAAGTTGAGGAAAAATTGAAACAATTATATAATATGTATGATGAATGTTCTGATAATATATATATATATATATATATATATATATATATATATATATATATATATATATATATATATATATATATATATATATATATATAGTATATAAACTATAAAATATATAAAGTATAAATATAAGTATATAAACTATATAGTATATATATAAACTATAATATATTTATATATATAAGTATAAAAACTATATAGTATAAGTATATATATGCATGTATGTACGTATGTATAATGCATATATATATATATATGTCATAATTTATTAAAAAATAAAAGAAAAAAATAATATATGTATATGTATATATAAATATAAATAATATATAATTATATATATATATATATGTATATATATATATATATATATATATTAGTATATAATTAAACATGAGTGCCTAAAATAAAAGATTCTAAAATTAACATTTACATTTAATAATTGTGCTCATTAAAGAAAGAATGGGAAATTAAAAGTAATTAGAATATATACATGTTGCATTGGATTGAAAATTCAAGAAGAGATTTACAATAAATAATGACTAAAATGAAAGAAATCAAAAATCAAATCACAAAGTAAAAAAATAATGATTGTTGGAGAAGCGTGGGCCTAATTAACCCAAAAACTCTTATTGGACACTAATCCCTCTAGGCGTCAACTTCCCAAATAAAATCAAAATTTCTCAATTTCCCTCTAAATTCATGATTTCTCTCTATTCACAAAATTTCCCAAATAAAATAAAAAATTTCCACACACAAAAATAATCTTTCTTTTAAAAAGCTTTCTCCCACCACTCACTTGAATATATATATATATATATATATATAATCTCAAATAAATTCATCTTATATGTATATCTTAAATTTTATGATAAATTATATTTAAATTATTAATTAATTATTACATGAGAAATAAATTAATTTCTTTTAAAAAACTTTATCCCACTACTCACTTGAATATATATACATATATATTAATCTCAAATAAATTTATCCTATATGTATATCTTAAATTTTATGATAAATTATATTTAAATTATTAATTAATTATTACATGAGAAATAAATTAAACTTATAAATATTTAAATTAATTTTATATAATTTAATAAAATATATATAAAATCTTGTTCAATAAATAAATTATTTAATAAAATTAATTTAATTATTATAATTAAGATTTATAATATAAGGATTATAATTAATATAAAAAATAAATTTATTAATTTAATTATCATAACTAACAATTTGTTTTAAGTTTTGAAAAGTGATCATATTAATTATCATAGTTTATTATGAATTCAAAATCTCACAACTTCATCAATTATAATTTATAAGTCAGGTAAATTTCAAGTTAGGTAAATATTAGATCATGTCAATAACAAGTCGGATTATTTACAGGTTGAGCCAATTACAGGTCATGTTCATAACATGTCAAGTTGATAACAGGTCGGGAAATGTCAATTATTTACCAGATTAATATCGGGTTCGGCTTCATATCAGTTGAATGCATGTTAGATTCAGTTATCATATTATCGGTTCAATTCGGGTTCAGGTTGTTATAAGATCGAGTGCATGTCGGCTTCAGATCCACAATTTCCAGGTCCAACTCGGGTTCAGGTCAACACCAGTTCAGACTCGAATTATTTTCGGATCACCACCATTCAGGTCACAAATAATTTTTACTCAAGTCGGTTTCAGTCAGTTTTACAGGCCGAGTCAGTTTTTAACATCCCTATTTCAAATGGTTACTCGATTATAATGGGTTAGTTTTTTTAATTTTAACTATTAAAAGTTACAAAATAGTTACTTGACTATTTATATTTTCCAAATTCATCACTTTCATTAAAAATTGATGGTTCTCTAAGCTAGACGTTATCTTGTTGATTGAAATATGATAAAATCATTTTTAATGATATTTATAGGCTCCATCGTTGCTTTCAAGCATTAGCTTGATGACATCATATAAACGAAGAATCAATTCACAAAATATAACTCATTATTTTGAGATCATATTTTATTATATTTTAATAAATAATTTAATGTCCAGCTCAACAACTATCAATTTTTAATAGAAAATGACGAATTTGAAACATATGAATAGTCAGATGAGTCAAGAAACTCAACAAAACATCACACTATAATTAGATGATTATTTTATAACTTTTCATAATTGTGAAACTCAGCAAAATAACTTCCTATAATCGGGTTCATTTATATACTTTATCATACTTATTTATTGATGTATAGATTAAACCTTTTAGCAAGCCAAACAAATAGATACTTCATAAAAAAAAATTTAGTTGAAGGCAAGGTTAAAAAAATTGAATCAAACACAAATTAAACTATCTCAATGATTAAAAAATTATTGTTATTTTTAGATATCTCGGGTTCGAACATTAGCTACTAAAGCATGGGTGATTTAACGTTTATTGTCAAATGAGTGAGAGTGTTTAAAATAAAAACTATTTTATAATCACTTTAGTTTTACAAAAAAAATAAATAAAAAATTGACTTAGATTACAATTTTAAATATTGAAATATTACTTTTTATATTTAATAAATAATTAGTTGACTTACGTTATTAATTTTAAATTTATTCAACGTTGATAATAAGAAATTACAAAAAAAAAGAAAAACGATTACGTTCTCTTAATAATATTAAGGGTAAACTACAATTATTGTCACCAATTTTTTTTCTATTTTGGTTATTAAATTTATTTTTTAACAAAAACATCATCAATGCTAGTTTTGTTGGTTATTAAAAATTTAACGATCACAGTTGACACTGATATATATATATATATATATATATATATATATATATATATATATATATATATATATATATATATATATATATATATTACATCATTCTTCTTTCCTTTTTAGTATCCCATGTTCTTAAATGAGATAAAAGAGATAACACCCGCCCACTGAATTTGGTCAAGTTTTATTAATTGTTTTTACTAAACTTATATTTAAGTTATATTTAAAATAAAACATTATTAGTTTTATTTTAAAAAAAATAATAATTACATCCTAAATAAACATTATAAATAAAAACAAATAAATAATTATTTAATTATATTACTCTATTTCTAAATGAAGTTGAAAACAATTTTAATTTTGATCTTCAATTTTAATCATAGTTTAAGTTAGGTATTAATTTAATTAGAAATACAATAATTAAATAGCTCAATTGGTTAAACATTTCATCTTAATTACTTTTTGACATAATTTTAATGTGGTAACATAATATAACTTGAATATAGATTTTAATAAATAATTGATAAAATTTGACCCAACTAAATGGTTGGATGTTAGATCTATTTATATACAAGAGAATTTGGATTCGATTCCCTTATCTTTTAAAATAAAATTATTTTAATTATTTTTCTATTGATTTAAGACTTAGTTAATATGTGACATTTAACAGTTTTACTAACACTATTGATATAGATATGAATTTACTATATCAAACTAAATGAACTATCTACATTTTTTTCATCCATGATTAAAATGATATTTTAACTTGAGTTTTGATTTTCCTTTTACGTTATTTCACGATTTATAAGCAAATTTATTGAAGATGGGAGCGTATGTTCTCAAGGATGGAACTGAAAGAGGGACAAGTGGGATAGTCATCCCTTAAATTTTTGAATTAGTATTTATTTTAGATATATTTCTTTTGTATTTTCAATTGATGATCTATTTCCGCACTTAAAATTTTATAAGTTCATCATCACCTAAAATTTTGAAACTTCGCTTCCTCAATATAAAATCCTGGGTTCGTTCGTATATTTTCTCAAAAGTATATAGTTCATTGTTTTAGCGAATTCAGAAGCAACTGAATATAAAACTAAACTAGAAATTATCACAATCATACAACCTTGAAATTTATGCTATATATCAGTTATAACAGAACCAACTTGAAAAAAGATTGTAAAAAAGAACAGCCAAATGCAACAAGTTAGATCAACAAACAGTTTCAAGATTAAATAAAAGAAAAGGAGAAGCCATCCTCATCTTCGGTTAATCATCGGCATCTTCTAATGCAGTGTAGATCATCCTTGCAAAAACACATGGAAGTTCCCAGTTAGTAGGCTACTAAAGATAAAAAACCAACATGTTTACAGGGAACATCTCATATACTGTTATGGCGGGAAAAAATACCAGAATACGGCGAAGAATATGAGAATGACGACATAGACGAGTTTAAAAATTCGTTGCTTCTTTTCCCAATGAAGCAAGTTGAATATCTCTGTAACATCTACCAAGTGCTGTTTCCGAGTGTAACTGATCACAGGAGTAAGTTAGGGAAACAACCCAAAGCATCCATGATTTCAACAGAACTCAACAAATTATAGTCTACTAGTTCTATTTTTCCCAAGGCTCACTATTCTCTGTGGATTCGATTTCGCTTATCACTACTACAAAGTTTGTTTTAAACAAGAACTTCGACAACCTGTCAAATTGTAACCAAAATGTGATTCTCGAATCCATCTAACTTGGCAGAAGAGATAGATAATATTGTTTGTGAATTGCGAAACTAAGCACTCTAAATTTTATTTTTTTCCATCTATTGATAAACATTTCCCATAAGATGAATCAGATTTTCTTTACAATTAGTGCTTCAAGTCATTAAACTAAGAGAGAGCAAGAGGTAAACAAAGCAAACAATAAGATACTCATCAATACGTGTATTAACTGCAATGAGTTTCCCGCAAGGTATAGGCATATAAGAAAATTTCAATTTTCATTAAGTTCCAATGCTACCTATATTAAGCTATGTAACTATCCATTGACGAATATCTTTGGATAGGTTACAAGTTAATCTTAAGAGCCACAAGGCCCCAAACTCATCAATCACGTCATCAATCGAGCTCTCAAAGTCGGGACTAAATAGAATTGATCAACCCGACAGGTTTAATTCCTAATTGAAAAAGGTTGCCAGTCCAGCATCTATGATAAGTCGTAGAATTGTATATAAATTGTATTTATTCTCTTATATAGTGTCCTAATTTAATTTACAAGTCAATATTTTATCAGAAGTTTATGTTTTGCAGGTATTTGAACGTTTTAGATATAAACTGTACCATAAACAAGAATTTTGGTAGAACTAGGACACTTAAAGAGAAAACAGGCGCAAGACAGACCACATGGATGAGATTCCTACTTCGATTTAAACTCTAATGCTTATTTGTGATAGAGATGTAATTTAAATATGTTTATTCTTTTACTTGATGTGAATGACCACTATTATAAATAGGGTCATTAGGAGAAGAGAAATCATCAACTTCAAATCTCACTCTCTCTTTCTTTTCTTAGATTTTCTCTTTCTCCATGGTAGTTAAACTCTTTCTTCTAATAAATAATATTTCAAGGTTTTTAATTCAAAGATTCATGAGATTTTCTAACATTCACTTTCTTTATTCTTTTGAGTAATTTTATATCTTCTATTTTATTTCTTAGTTATTGATTTATGGATTGCATAAATTGTTTTAATACAAATAGTAAAATAACCTAAGAACTAGTTATTATGATATAAGATCTAGTTTGAATCGTCTACGTTGGTGTGCGCTGGTTACCTATGGATTGAGTCTTTTTAATTCATAAAACTATTGAATAGATTAAATCCGAGGAGTGTATCTGTGGAATTGTCTAATTAATAAGTAAATTAATCACTCGGACAACTCATTGGTTAACAATAAATTAAGAAGTGCTTAGATTATTAGGTCATCTCAAGTAACTATAACCAACCTATTCAAAAAGAATTTAGATAATCCTAAGTTATGTGATCCAATCATGAATTAAATTCTACGATTTACCATGATTAGATACTCTCTTTAATTTAATTCCATTTTATTTTTTGATCAAGTCTTTTAATTTAATTTGCATTATACGTTGAATCAAAGCTAGCTTTCCTCAAAAAGAACTACACCAATGAAAAAACGTAGAATAAGAATAGGTAGAAGAACTTAATGTGTAGAAGAACTTACAGTCTGACATTGTAATATAAATATGGAGCACATAACAGTGACATAACCCAATGCCCCGTTAGTAGATAGAACAAACATAAAAATCCTTGGAGGATAAATTCCGGCAACACCACTTTGTTTATCCTTGATGAAGAGTCATAAGGATTGATGTAATCGAACTCTAAATCAGCCAAGCATATGAGCTGCACCAAAATCATCACGTTGTTAAATTTCCCTTTCCAGTTCTTAATATAACCATAACAATGGCAAAAAATCAACCAGATAAGGCAGTGAAAAAATATTCATGTGTGTTGCAATTGATTTTCTATTTTCTCATCTAGTGAGAAATCTACAGTGTTCGAGAAGAAGGTCGGACAACACGGACTCTTTCAATGTAAGAGCTTGAACTTCCCAAGCCATAGCCGTCGTGTAGAAGACGTATAGAAGGCGCCCTATAATTCCGGCATCTTCCCCGACATACTGTAGAAAGAACTTTACTTGAAAAAATAAATTCCGACTACCACTATTTTTGGAAATTTTTTCCCACATTAGTAATTGGCTGATTTTGCCGCAGAACAATCCATGGATGAACAATAACATCGCCAATGCGTTAAAAAATAGATAGACTTCAGTTTTCAAACTTGATTAGTTCTATTTATGTTTAAAATCTAAAACAAAGGGCAGTGAGATAGTATTCCAGGAATCAAAACTTCAACCCCAAATTACCAAACAACACACCATTTTGTACAACGAAATTAAATATACCCAGATAAATGCACACAATGAATCTACAAAAACAACCATTACCCACCAAATAAAAAGCAATACCCAGAAGAGAAGAAGGATTAGAAAAGGGGGATTGACCTGAAATACGAGGACAACGAGGATGGCAACGAGGATGAAAAAAGAAAAAAGCCATATGAAGAGATCTACCATGCCTCTCTTTCTCTACCTTGGATTTGTTGCTTCGATGATAACAAGATGAAGATACGCCGGGTGACAAATGCACACGGATTTTCCCCTGATGGTACACGGAAGAGACGACGAGGAAGGTTATTATTGGCTTGACTTGTTGTGAATCCTTAAACGCTTAAAGTATCCAGCCAAAAGTAGCCAAGGCAAGACTGTTTTTGAGTTTAAGTCTTGGAAGACTTTCGGGTTTGTTTAACCATTTTAGGATCATTTTCACGTTTTACATCGACAACTCCGACCGGTATACAGTTTAAATTAAATGGAGCATCAAAGTTTGAGGTTTTGGTGGTGCATTGAATTATATATTATTTGAATGTTAAATATTTATTTTTAAATAATGAAAATTAGAATTCTTTAATAACGCAAAAAATATATATATTTATATATTTTTTTAATTTTAGACACTTGTTTTTGTCTGGATCCTTATTTTTATTAATATTATATATTTTTATTTTTATTTAATTATCATTTTATTTTATTTACATGCTATTACAAGCTCAAATTGAGCCTAATTACAAAGAAACCAACTGATCCTAATATTACAACAGGCCCAAACCCTAGCCTAACAGAACCCAAAATAATTAGGGTTTTTGAACCTTAGGGTTTCCGAATCCCACTGCTATCGCCACTACCAAGAGATCTATTCATGTTGTGCTGCCATTGGAGTTACTCCAATCGTCGTGTACCACCGATTTCGAGCCACTTTCGTCCAGCAAAACAGTGAACAAATAAATCAAAATTGTCAGAATATTTACCAAACTAAACCAAATCTGAAAAAACCCTTTAAAAAATTCAAAAAAATAAAATAAAAATTAGATTTTTAAAATTAGGGTTTTGGGAAATCTTTTCTATACGGTTTGAAGCCCATGTTCCACCAAATGCATCACCAAATCTCATCAAATCGACATGCAACAATATATAGGGCAGAGGGATCGAAAAGAAAAGAGGACTCGGTTTTGAGAAGAAGAAAAATGAGAGCATTGGGATAAAAAATGAAAAAAAAAATAGGGAGAAAAAGAGAGACTTTACCTTGGGTTTGAAGGTCTTCACTTCACCAGCAACGATAGGACTCCCTAAAGCATCGAAGGTAGCCTTCTTTTCCTATTTTGGATTTTAATTTGGGGAGTTTTAGGTTTCAAAGGGGTTTTTAGGGTCAAAGAGGTTAGGGGGTTTCATTTTGGGTGTTTTTGAGGGTTGTTGTCCCCTCATCGGGGCAGTGTATAGTGGTGCCCAAGGTGGTTTATGGCCACTGTTTCATTTCCCTTCTGTGCGAGAGAGTAAGGGAGAAAGAAAAAGAGAATGATAGAGGGAAAGTGAAAAATGGCTGAGGGAGAAATAAGGGGCTAGGGTTTCTAAGGGGCTAAAAGGGGTATTTAGACGATCGCCAAAATAGCGTCGTTTTGGGTGTCCCAGGGTTACACTATTTTAGCGTGTGGGTAAACTACTCGAGTGAGGTCTTTAAGTTTGTGAAATTTCATTTTAGTCAATGTTTATATTTTTTTGTGTTTCTGATTTTTCCTTCTCAGCGTATTATATTTTGGTAACCTTAGTTTATTTGCTTTTGCCTATTTTAATTTTAGCATGTAATTTTAAATAGTTTCATTTTGGTCCTAAATATATATGGGTTTATTAGACTTACAGTGCTTGTAATGTATAATTCTTGTATTATATGTTACGATATTTGTTTGACTTGTTGTTGTGACACTAAAATTTCAATTTTTATTATTTAGCCCTATATTTGCATAATACAAATAGTATGTGCTTTGAATATTATCCATGTATAAAATATATATTGGTATCATGAAATATAAATATTTGTGTAATTTGTTGCATATAGGTTTAGGGTTTAATATGAATTAATTTCCATGATATCCTCATAAGCATTACTTGGATTCGAATCAAATAATGGGATTAAAGGTAATATCTTTTTATTTTAAGTTCATTGTAAGTGATTGTCTTAATGAATAAGAGGCCACTTCCAATGGCTTAAAAATAAAGAGTATTCTATCAAGCGAAACAAATAAAATTGATTTCATTTAAAATTTATTACTAAGAAAAAGATTATGTTCTTTTAATTAAATTAATCGAGAAAAGACTGCTAGATTTGATCTACGGTCTAGTCTTGATATATTTAAATAATTGATTATCCTTATTCTCATTAAAAATTGGTAAAATAATTAATTAATCACATTTCTTTGATGCATGTATTTAATTTTTGTCTTATTTTATATGTGTTTAAATGGGATTTCAAAATAAATTATATTTAAACGTATAAGTTTTATTGAAAGGACAACTAATGAATTAATTTGGTATCGATTTAGGGCGCTGTGGGGGTGCTAATCCTTCCCCAGGTGTAACTAATTCCCGAACCCAAATTTTTGGTAACACAGATTGTAAAATTTTTGTTTGAATTAAAATTAACATTTTATTAAAATGAAAAATATATTTTTGGGTACCCAGTCACACCTAACCAAAGATTGGCGGTGACTCTACAAACCGATTTTATTGTTTTTTAAACTCGAGTCCCAAATTATTCGAGGCGAACATTTTTACAAAGTCCTAATTTTTAATCGACAAGATTTTAAATAGAACATCTCGACTGCTTGGCTACTCCACTGAGGAGTTTCGAGAGTCACAACATTAATTAATTAGTTGTCCTAGCAATAAAAATTATAAATTCGCCCTAATTTAATTTGAGATCTCTTAGGTGTTTTGATCCGTTTTACATTTATAATTTGATTAACCACTAAATAGTTGTACATATTTGTTTGTTAATGATTTCAAATTGAATAAATGTTAAAGGATTTGAGAACTCTATTTTTGTGTTGTTTATTTTGTTTTCGCTTTTCCTTACACACTGCATAATTGCATTTGTATAACATAAAGTAAAACCCCGCTCTATCCTGTTTAATTGGGAGTGAGAAGTTACTCTCTCTTGATGGTTTTCACCTCTGTATGGGATAGCAGAGCGTTCCCGAGGAACAACCTTATGGTCCTCGTGATGGTAATCACCTCCGTATGGATATAGGGAAGTGTACCCCTAGAATTGAACTCGATCCAAATAAGTCTATAATGGAACATGATTAAGGGTCTAGTAGCCCAAGTGGGCATCGATAAGGATAATAGAGCATGACCTCTTTCCCTAGAGATGAACCCAACATATCGTGAGCCCGTGACTATAGAGCTTGACCTACCCTTAGAGGCCCCGTGAGGAGAGTACAAAAGGAAAAACTTTTGTGAGTCTTAGATAATTTAACGTTTTGAATAAATGCATGAGAACTAGATATCATGCAGTTAGGTTTATTTCGAGCTGGAATACGAATTAGATATCATGTGATTATGATTTATTTTTTAAATAATAAAACATGGATGTAAAAACATGTATGGGTAGGATGTACTAAATCATGTTTGGGTAGACAACATGTAGGGGTATGATTCATTAATAAGTTTATTTTTGCTTGACTGATTATGTCTCAATTTTTAATTGATTTCCTTTTTCCTTCTTGTTTTTTCTCATTGCATCATTCATTTCATGGTGTTGATCCATGCTCGATGTCCATATAGAAGGTTACTAATATGGAACGAAAGGTCCAAAAGGAGGTGGAAAATAATGCAGATGTTCTCAGGTGGTATGAGCAATCTCAAATCACTAATGGAGACAATTTAGCGCTTGGGTACGTTCAAAGTGTGTCGAATGTACCCGTTACTACTCATCAGAATAATCTGATCAAACTCAAGGAAATATGGGGAAAATGGAAAAAGGATGACTAACAGGTGTTCTATCAATTGTATGGTGACATATTCTATCTTTTGGATGTCCTTGCGGATAGAGAGTTGCTCAGAGCTCTTGCACATTTATGGTATCTCTCTTACAGTTGTTTCGCCTTCGGTCAAGTGGGTATGACAGCTACAATAGAAGAGTATCATGCTTTAATCCGTTGTCTAAGGTTCAAAATTGAAAAAGTGTACACAAAACCACTGAGTGTTACCTCCTTCAAGAAGAAATTAATCCTCATGACTGGGATAAGCGAAGAGTGGACGGTTAAAAACATCAAGAAGAAATGGGATAGTGAGTGTGTCCCTTGGAAATCCCTGCAAAATGTAATCAGCCATCATCCTGACCAACGAAAGAAAATAAACTTGCTAGCTTTGGGTATTTACGGGTTGGTCATATTTCCAAAGGCTTTGGGGCATGTCGATATATCAGTGGTGGATTTGTTCAAAAGATTAGATAAAGGCACATATCCCATTTTAGCTATATTAGTAGAAACTTGCCATTCTTTAAATTTTTGTAGATAAGAAGGGGATGTACAGTTTATAGGATGTGCATTACTTTCGTTAGTGTAGATTCTAAGTCACTTTAAGAATGCTAAAAGGGTATACAAACGAGTTTATCTAGAAGGTTATTCTCTATTAAAAGACTTTCTTAAGCGAGAGTGGCCTAAGGGTATCAATGAGGACATGTGGAAGGTTATTTTCAAAGATATTCGAGATGATGACATTACATGGTGTGCTTCTTGGAATAGTTCTTCAAGTACACTTTATAGATGTAAAAACTACAATTGGGTCCCTTTACTAGGTATTTGGGCATCGGTAGGATATGTTCCTTTGTTAGTCTCGAGATAATATGGGTCTAGACAATTTATTCCTATAACTGAATGTTTAAGCATATCAGATTTTTTTTTATTTTAGGGGACAATTACAAGAATGGAGTTAAACAAGTTACCGATGCTTGGAAGCAAACTCATCTAGTGAATCTCTTTACCGCTAATTTAGAGCTTTCATGAGAATGCCTGGAGTGGAGAAGCAAGGGAATCAACGATAATATCCTGGTAGCTAATCCTGAGAATACAAGGCCGATGGAAGAGTATTTTAGAGTAGTACCTTATGAGAAAGAACATTTAACTGACTTGATAAGGAAATTGGAATGGGATAAATACCAAAAAGAGTTTGAAAGTGACATTGAAAAAGGCCAAGATGATAAGACTGAAAAGATTCAGAGCCAAATTTTTCTGGATTTTGATGATTTACAATCGACATACCAAAAGATGCTGAAAGCTCAAATGGAGCAAGTTCGAGTAGATCACTAGCTGAATAGAAAAAAATGGTGGCTAGTTGATCGCTTGTAAATGTATATGTTAAGGCAAGCAAATCTGTGCAAGTATACACAATCGATTCAAGTAATATAGGGTAAGTGAGTATCGTCTCCACATGGTTTGGATTGGAAATATATTTTCACCA